TAATAAAAAAAACTAAGAAGGAAACAAAAAGACCAGAACACATCCTCCCCAGTAGCCAACACCCAGATAAGCAGGGATTAACACCAGGCTAACAAAACTGGCAGGGCAAGCTACTGTACATAAACAGGGAGCAAACCCCACACCCACTAGCACTGATGATGTTACCTAGTTGGCTAATGAAATGTCTGCAAGCAAACAACCAAGCTCAGAGAGTATGAAGGACTCTTTATGTTTATAAGTTTCTGAATTCTCCAGAACTCTTCATCAGGACTGATAATCAAAAAGGGGATGGGGAGACACAAGGAAGATAAGCCAAATATTATGATCACGAGCTCTACAATTTAGATTGAAGATAGCTGGAAGTAATTCAGATCTCTCTCTCCTTTTCCAATTTAAATAGCGAAATATAATGCCTGAGCTAACCGGTTTCCCTACCAAGAATACACATAAATCTCTGAATTAAGTTGAAACCTCAGAACAAGGACTCAAGAGACTACTATAATCTCAGTCAGGTTTACAAACCTTTAGAGTTAATAAAATACACTTTTATGAATATGGAAATTGCAGAGATATTTTTGCATGTTCAGAAATAAGAAAAGAGCAAACTATGTGACACTTTCTAAATAACTTGACAGATGTTCATTTTTTCTCTGCTTACTTTCAAAATCTCTTGTAGGCACCTATGATGCTAGTATTTTTGCTTGAATTTGAAAAAGAGCTAATGACATTGATTGTATTATTGGGTATAAAGCCATTTTAGTCTAAAAACTTAAGATAAGATCATGGTGTTTACAATGGCTGTTAATCTTAAAGCACTTGCACATTTTCTCTCCTATGGAGGATAGCTTATGTTAATTCCTGTGAAGGCTGTATCATCTGAGAGGCTAGCACTACATATAGAAAACAGTTGTATAGTTATGGTAAAATTACCCTTAATTTTCCCAATCTGTGCATGGTAGATTCTCTTCCTCATCTTCAGACTCTGGTGATGCCTCCTTAATCCGGCGTAGTGCTTCATGGATGCTGCGAGTTAAAGGATCATCATCAGGTAAAATTGTGAATGATTCTCTCATAATGTCCTTTTGAACCTTCTTCAGTTTCACGCCTTTTCTGATCTGTGCCAAGATGTTATTGCTGTCATCTTCATCAGGGAATGGGGGTAGATTTCTCTGTTCAACTTTTCTCAGGTGGAAGCTGCCACGTTTCAGGGAAGCCAAAACCTCATCCATTGGGGAACTCACTATAGAAAATAGTAAAACTCACTAAATCTAAGTTTACATCCTACAAGTTCTAATTTTATCTTGTTAAATAAAAGTGTGCAGTATTCAGATCCAAAATGAGAAGGCTGCTTCTAGTGTGGACACATTTGCTGTACTTTTTGGCATCTCCTTAAGGAAACCATATATCTTCTTGGGCTTGTACAATAACTACAACACAGTCCTAGGAAAATCTATGTTTGACTTAAGGAGGTGGCAACAACCCAGATCACATAAATGACCTACATAAATAGGATAAACAATCCTATTTGTGGCACATTAAAATTAAATACTGTTTCCAGCAAGTAGGCTTTTAATATAAATTTTCCTTCATAGAAAGCAAAAACAAAACAGAACAAATAGAACTGAAACAGGAGAGAGATCTGCATATCTCTGTCTTCTTTGGATGCACATTTTGTTAAGTATTTGTTTCCTATTATAAACAAAGCAAAGGGAACAGTTTAGATCACAGGGGGGTAGGGATGATTTTTCAAATCATAAACCTCTACTACCCATCTCTTGTGCAGGCTACAGTATGTCTACTGTTAAAAATTGGGATTTCTTAAATCCAGAAATAGGTGGCTTCAGTCAACTGGCCCCTGATGGGGAAGCAACAATGGAGAGAAATGTATTTAAATAACAGATATAAAACCGATGTTGTTGGATGGTTAGGTATTTCATATGTTGGTGGAAACAGTATTAATGCAGCTGGAGTAATGTTGTTAGTTAAGAAAGAGATTCACATGGTAGTAACATAGTATTCCCAACTAGAGAATTAAGAATCTATTATTGCTCTCTCTCCCCCCACCCCCCCAAAAAATTCAGATTATATTACAAGTGCTTTTGAAGGATCCCTTGGTTTCAAATATATTTTGACATGTGGCTTAGGGAGATATTGTTCATGATGTACAATCTCAAAGTTCTCTTTAGTGTGACAAACTAATGCAATCATTTGGATCCTGGTCATTATTTTTAATTATTAGCCAAAGCAATAGCAAACCAATATTGATTTTTCTTTTCACATAATCCCATTCAGAAGAAATTAGAAAGTACCTCTTCTTCTTTGCAATCCTTCCATATCACCAGTTTTCTTTAGTTTTTTCTTGGCACTGACTAACTGGCTGCTATCAAAAAAATGAGCTGTTGGTGCAATGGTGATCAGTGGGGTTGGCTTCTCTGCATTGCTTTGTTTAACAGGACTAATGCTTTTTTCAGAACACTGAGTAGATTCTTCCTTGGTGGGCAGAGGTGGTGGTGGTGGCGGTGGTAGAGGAGGAGGAAATGGTGCCTCACTGACTGTATTTGAATGAAATTCATTGCTAATGAGAGCTGGAAGAGAATCAGTTTGAGAAAATTCAGAGGTAATACCACTAGGAGATAAAAAAATATCTTCAAGTTGTCCTAAGCTTCTAGACTCCTGTTTTTGTAAAGGCTGGATTACTTTTTCTTGCTCCATGTTATCTGTCTGTGTAGTTACTGGTGAAGATGGGGGATGATCTAGGCCAGTTGTTGAAGTGGCTGTACTTTTTCTCCTTGCATGAGCCAGCCGAAGTCTAGTTGATTTGAGAATTACCTGTCCAGGATAGCGCTGAGAAAGAGAGAAAGAGAGAGACAGAGAGAGAGAGAATTATAGAATCTTAACACTTCTGGCGCCCAATATACAAACATCCTTTTTAAAAAGTACAGTAACAAGACATTTACATATTTCATATCTAAAAGTGCCAGAAACTTTAAATAAAAGGAAAGAAGAAAGCAGAAAGACAATACTAGAATCATTTTTCCATAGAGGTGGAATGTAGAAAGCTTAGAATGCTGTAACAATAGTTTATTTCCATTGAAAGAAGTAAACTTCATTCAAGTAAACTTCATTCAAGTTCAAGGTAAAATTTCTATTTCTATACAATTAATCCAAATCAACAATCTTAGTGATAATAACACTGATTATTGGTAACCACAACGCTCAGCAAAAACCATATAAAAATCATCAGATGGAAGTTAAGAAACATAACAAATATGGGAAAGTGAGTTTTAAAATCATCTTCCTATTTAAAGAAATAATGGAAACTTTTTTCCTTTTTAAACAAAATCTTCATGCCTTTACAGAAGACCATAAAGATACCTGAAAGGCTATATAATGTACTTAACTAAACTGAAAAATCCATTATAGAAGATTCAAGTATAGCTTGCCTTCTAGCTGAGAGTTGAAATAAAAATCATTTTAAGAATATTCTCAGCTTCTTTATTATTTCCCTGTGATGTATTGTTTAATAACTGATTCACATATCATGTGTATAGATGATAGGGAGTTGTAGCTAATTCAGAGAGTATCTGTTCAAATAGTGCAATTAAACATAATTAGCTAATATATGAAAATTCAAGTGAAGTTCATATTCCAGTTACCTGTTTAAATGTTCGAAGTCTGTCCAATGTTTTCTGTCGTTCCTGACTAACCCATGAGCTTTTTCTTTCTACCTCATCTTGCAACTGCTCTCTTTTCTGAGAATAAAAACAAAATGGCAAAACAGAAGAGGAACAGAAATTTGGGAGGCAAGAATAATGTCTCTACATTAATATTTTCTTCCTTCAGAGGACAATGTAATAGGATTAATCCTAAGGCCTTATGTTCTGAAGTTGCCTTCAGGAGTAATTGATAAAATCAGAAAACTTGGAGGAAATGATTGCTGAAACAAAATTTGCTAAACTGTAATGTTAAAAAGCAAACATGACACATATCATAAATAGCTCTTTCTGCCAAACAATGGTGATACATGGTGATACATATATATAACAATTTTCTAAAAGTAATACATGTTTTATCTTAACATTTCAGAATGCAAAAGTGTCAAGATATACTGGAATGTGAAAAGTATGCTGTTCTATATCAAGTTTATTTTCATTCTCACTGCATTTTAGAGATCATACTAGCTTAAACAGATAAACATATATTGCATATGTATATATTTTTGCCCAAAGAACTGGTGATTATCAGCCTATCTGGTGCTGCAATAACTTTAAATATTAATGTATCTGTAGCTGCTCAGAAAATACTTTTTTATTAATAATAGTTGCTACCATCTCACTGTTATAAAATTTCTAGAAAAGTAGCCATGTTAGTCTTTTGCACGAAAAGATCCTCAGAAAATGTGGCTGTATCTTAAAGATTAACCAAGTTAAAAATGAATGTGCATCTGATAGAGTGATCCATGAAAGCTGATAGGATGAAATAAAATTGATTACTTTTTAAAGTGTCACAGGACTGTTTGGGTTTTTTTTGGGGGGGGGTCATTCTTGCTTCTCAATATATAGTTAGGCACTAAAGATATTCAGATTATCTAGAATCCAATAACTGAAGATTGGTTTATCAAAGTTTTTAACTAGTTGTGATAATTTAGGAAGCTTTTAATTTATTTTTAAAATGTATCAGCTTATGTCAAAGATTGATTTTAGCATTCCCTAATGCTAGCTAGGCCCAAGCCTTATTCTACAAACAAATTATGAATACAAGGTCAACCAAGGAAGCAAAATCTGAATTCCACCTCTTCCCAGCTATGAAGTAGAGAGCAGTTTCCTGACTTACTCTCATGACCATTTATAAATGAAGATACTAGCTGATGTTAGTAATGGGACCATAGACCTGGGATTAATAGTCAAACCAGTTTAACTAAAGTAGAGTTGTTAAGTTAATGAAACAGAACCTACAAAAAAATAAAATAACATCTATACTGGTCAGCACACATTAAAAATGGTGCCAAGTTAAAAATATGGGAATAAAAGGAGGGGTACAATAGGAGGTCATGTCTAAGCTCCTGTAAAATTCTGTGAAAGGACACTGGCAATTGCAGCAACACAAATCTCATGTGGAAGCAGCAAACACACAAATATGTGACGATTTAATTTTTTTTTTCTTAAATCAGCAAAGAAAGTTAGAGCTGGCATATATAAAACAAAATTTTAATACTATTAAAATGTATTTTAAAGACAGAAACCAAACTCACAAATTTTGCAGCATGTTCTGACTCTCCTTCACTCTGAGAATGCTGTGAGAATTTTTCACTATGTTTTGCAATGCAGATTTCCTACAAAGAAAGAATATTTTTCCATTTAAATATGACTTTAGGTATGATTCCTGTCTTCAGTAGGAGAACTGGTAAGGGATTATACAAAGCAATTTAAATTCTGATTCACAAGTGGAAAACTGCCACAGAAAATTCATTTATATTCTATCAATATTATGGTATAATATATGGCAATCTGTGATTGTCCATAGATCCAAAGATCTCTCATTCTTGCAAGACAACGAATCCCAATGCATAACATTCTGGTTGGTACACTGATTTCCTTTCTAATGGAATTAACAGAAAGAAAATGAAGGAAAAACTTCCTGATCATAGTGAGTTGTCAAAGCTAGGATATAACAGTTAGTCTGCCACAGAATCCCCAGCCTCCACAGGATATCCCTATGGAGCAAGCATTATTCAAGAGAATGGGGGAAGAGATTACAAAGTGAATAAAACAAAGAGTTTTTTCCTACTGACATAAGACATGTATATATAACTTGGAGCTTCTGAGTAGTTTTCAAGTATCATGTCTCTCTCTCCTTCTGCTTTTTCTATTAGCATAACAATAGATAAATCATGCTTAATCCAACTGGGATATAGTAATGAAAATTCTATAGTATCCAACTGAAATTAAAATATACAGCTGTATTATGCAACTGAAGTTAAAGTTTAATTCCATTCAGCTCCATATTGGCTGTATAATCCCATTTTGGATGCATTATTTCTAAAGAACTTCAATCTAATTATTTTCTTCTGGAACTGTAGGTTATTAGTCTCTGACTAACCTAACACTGATTAAAGAGCTACCTCATACTCTTCAGTCCTACAATGGTGCTTATAGCAAGAAAACAAGGAAATACTATCACCAACAATATTTTGTGCAAGTTAACATTAGGAAAATATTAAATTTATGGCTGTCAAAGATAAACAGCAGGAAGCTATTTTTAATTCTGACCATCAAGGCTATATAGACTTGAGCTGAGCAACCATTTGAAAGTGAATAGAGATGGCACAGAAATGGCCTAATGCAATCTGCCTTAGCATTTAAGGTTGGCTGTGGCATTCCAAACAAATACACTACAAATTTCTGTCTTTAAACCCACCCCTTTTGATTTTAGCCTTGCTAAATGACAGCTGCTGCAAAAGCTATTTGTTGAAAAAATGGAAAAATGAACAAAAGCATTACCTTTTTATTTTTGAGGTAGGCTTTTTTGGCAGAAATGCGACCACGCCTTGCTTCTAGTTGACGGACTTTCTGTTGTAATTTCTGCAACTCTTCCCTTTGCAAATGTATGGATGTTGCCATATCTTCTTTTTCAAGCATGGCTTCCATACTTTCGTAAGTATCATAATATACTACTTCATCTCTTTTCTCTGTTACAAAATTCCAATTAGTTTAATAATTTTAAACATATACCCAGTCAAGCAAAACTACGCTACAGAATTTATGCAACATTCCCAAAAGTTTTTAAAAAAAATATTGGAAAGGTAATCATAGAATTAGAACAGATGAAGACTATCTTTGCCTACGCCCAGGAAAGAAACATCCACAAAATCACTTATATACCAGATCACAGAGCAGAGGTTTTCTCAGGCCTTTTAATTGGCTTTTAATTTATATTGTTTTTGATTCTGAATTATTGCTTTGCTATTTCCTAGTTTTTATGGTATTTTCATTTTGCATTTTAATTGATTGTATTGTATATATTTTTATTCCAACTGTATCATTTAGCGTATCTTACTGTAAACCACTCTGACTGCTTCAGCTATTGGGAAGTTTTCTAAATTTCAATCAATCAATCAATCAGTCAATCAGTCAATGAATGTAACAGCAGAGTTGAGTGGAAACAAAGCTATATTCAAATATGGTGACTCTGGTAATCAAGTAGGTTACCAGTATGGAAAAACTCATCAAATGAACAATCACAAGTTAAAACTTTCTTTGACTGCAACCATAAATTAATCTTCTTATCAATCAAATCTTGATTATGGTCATAGACCACCATCAACATCTTGACACCAGCTGAGTCTACCTTGAACATTTCAATAAAATGGAAAAGAAGCCAGAAGTAAAACAACTAAAGTTACAATCCTACATACACTTATATCTGAATAAGTTCCATTAACAAAGGTTAGAATTGTTCTGTACAACAGTTTCAATAACTGAACTAAGAAAGAACTAAAAAAAGGGGGGGAGAAAAAATGGGTCAGGCACAGGAGAGATTGCCTAAAGAAATAGCTTTTTCTTCTTTCTCTCCCTCCCTCGCAGAGAGATTGCTTAAATAAGCAAGGGGGAAAAAAGAAAAAGAAAAAGCAATCTCTGCAGGCAATCTCTACAGTGCCTGACCTGTTTTCTTCTGCTCCCCCCCCTTGCAGAATGGAGAGATTGGAGAGAAGGGATTACAAGAGAGTAAGCAGGCACCCAATAGGGAATATACCAGCTGTTTTCCTAGTGTGCTCGTGGCTGCCAGCTCCACTGCGTTCCTTTCAATGTATATTCCTCATTGTGTGCCTGCTTACTCTCTTGTAATCCCTTCCTCTCCAATCTCTCCATTCTGCAAGGCGGGGGGGGGGGCAGAAAAAAACAGGGGAGCCCCTGTAGAGGTTGCCTGCAGGGATTGTTTTTTCTTTTTTTTCTTTTTCCCCCCTTGCTTGTTTAAGCAATCTCTCTGCTCTTTGAGGGAGGGATGGAGAGAAAGAAGAAAAAGCTATTTCTTTAGGCAATCTCTCCTGTGCCTGACCCATTTTTTCTCCCCCCCCTTTTTTTAGTTCTTTCTTAGTTCAGTTATTGAAACTGTTGTACAGAACA